AAGTCAGACAACCCCAAGTTCTCAAATAAGACAAATTTGGTTGTCTTTTCTTTAATATCTCATAAGGAGAGATCTTGCATTTTGACTTGGGGACTCTATTCAGGACATAGTAAACAGTCAATAAAATTTCCCCCACCAGTGAGGTGCAACACTAGAATTCATCATAATTGCAACAACAAGTTCAGTAAGAGTTCTATTCTTTCTTTCTGTTTTACCATTCATTACAAGATAGTATGGTGAAGTCGTTTCATGTACAATTTCATGTATAAAATTCATTAATAAAATAGAATCATACAATTTATCTATCACTACAAATTCTTATTATATCATTTTCAAATTCTTTACAAAATTTTTTAACATATAAACTTCATTCTTCGTAATGGCGTACAAATCTACTCCAATAGACTGACTAAACCATGTCTTATTTAAAAGAAAATTAGAAACAATATTCTTTCTAATCTTAGGAACATGCATAACGTTCCTTAAGATTAAAATCTTTTTGAAGGTGAAATTTAGCTTTATGTCTACAATTCCAGCAACATTCATGGTCTGGTCATCTCCCAACAACACTTTTTTATCTTTAGTATTCGTGTATGTTTAAACATAACACGATCATAACAGACACAACGAGAGACGCGAGTGTCTATCCACCAACCAACATATCTATCAACCATGTTGATTTCAATGACCATAGCAATAAATTGCCCATTAGTCAGGTTGGCCTGTGCATTAGGGACATCACCAAGTTCAAGCTTACTTATACATTTCTTAGTCATATGACTTGATTTTCCATAGTTAAAGCAAAGGGAAACCAACATAATTTCTTTTAGGTGGTAGTTGTTTCCTAGTTGAAGGTATTGGGATCATAGAAAGATTCCCATTCTTTATTCGGTTCACAATATTGCAGTTCTGATTCTTTAATCATTTGCCAAATGGCTTCAGAACTACACCGAATTTCTTTTTGTTGTTTGAAACAACCAAAACTTTTTCTTTTTGATATTGTCTCTAAAATTCCCTTTTTATTTTTTCTAAACATTCAAACTATGGGGTAGTTTGTCAATAATAAAACCAATTTTAAATTGTTCATTTAAACACATACCTTTTGTGATGATCTTTTAAGCAATCTTTTGAAGTTCGTAACATTGAGCCTTCACCGACCTTACATCTTTGCATTTGATACTTGAAGTAACAACTAACAATATACTTCTTTGCTCCAACTTCTACGTCATACTTCTTTTTCTGAGTCTCTCAATCTTGTTTTGCAGTATCACATCAACTGTAATTATCATACAGATCATCTGCGAGTCTATTCAAAATATGATTTTGTAGAGATTTTCATTCTCTTTCTATAAGGTGATTTCTTTACTATGCTGTAAATCATCCGCTTTAATCTGTGCAGCAGATTCAACTTCAACACTATTAAGAGTTTCTTTTAAATCTCCAAATTTACTACCGTTAGTTTGTTTGATTGTTCCAGAAGGAGCAACAGAATGTCATCGATCAGAACGTTAGCAACTTTTTTCAACGTTAAGAACTTCATCTTTTGTTGCCAACGTTTGAAGTGACTTCTCTCAAACATGAACGATTTCTCAAAGACAATATCCGCAAAAGAACCAATAATTTCTTCAGTAGTCATGGCAATTTGAAACATCTTAAATTGTTGTTTTCATATTTTAAAATATTTGCCACCGAAGAAATTACCAGGTTGAGTTGCGGACTAGGTCGCTCTCTTTAAGACGTTTCACGACACTGCTCAAAATTATGCAAAGCAGTCGAACTACCGCGCCGCCTTCAGGATAAAACAACCCTGTTCTATACGGTATGATTACTACTTGCATGATAGATAATCGGTCTAGAAATACACCCTATGATAGTACAAAACCATTCAAATATGGTATCAACACCACTCGTAGTATCTGGTACAAAGACCAGTCATAATAATTTCTCAAACAAAAAGAAACTCAAATAATTCTCCAAAGAGAAATTAATAATAGTCATTTGACCACTCATAATAATTTCTCCAACAAAAGAGAAATTCAAATAATTCTTCAAAGAGAATCCAAAAGATTAAACTTGAAAATTCTTCAACTCAAATGAGGAGAAATTGACATAATTCTCTAAATAGAATTCAAGAAAATACTCGGAAAATTCAACGAGTAGGAAAAAAGAGGAAGAAGATGTCGCTTCGACAATTCAAGAGACGCAAAATATGAGAGTGAGAAATGAAAAACTAATAAAATAATTTTTGGTGTAATTTGAAATGAAACACGTCCACTCCTTATACAGTGAAATATGATAGTTAATATTTCTCACATAAATAATATATGACTAAATGATATTTTTTTAACCAAAAAAATATTACGTAGAATTTGAGAAATTTTTAAATTCAATATATTGGAACATGAACATGTTCCAACACCCTAGCCGTCGCCCTTTCTCCGATCCTAACTTCGGCCACCATCGTACCTCCATCTTCCCCTTTTCCGGCCACCACGACCTCAAGGGGTTTCAAGAACGAAGACGTTTAGCTTAACTCGTGCGCGTTGGCAGGAAAACTATATCGTTCTATCAACACTCAGTAGCCAGTGAGAAAATTAGGGTTTTGAGAAAGTACGATCACAATCAATTTTATTACATCAGAAGTTTATCAGAGAGTCATTTGCAGAATCAATTTTATTACGGTTCCTATGATCGAGTGCAAGCTTGTATGGCGGAACTCGGCGTTCCGATCACAATCAATTTTGTTTTTTTCTTCAACTCGTTCTGTTTTTATAAATATTTATTGTTTGCAATTTCAATTAGTTTGTATTTGTTTGTTGTTGCTGTCAATTTCTTATCATGAATCGTGGTTAATTTATCACTGTGTGTTTATTGTGTGGCCCGTTCATATTAGGTTTGTTCGGTGGATGTGGAACAGCTTTCTGAATTGCTCTGTTTTTATCCTTTTTTATTTGTTGTAGTTATGTCGAAGTCGATGATATAAGGTCAATGAGACTTCAATCATAGAGAATGCGATTTCAATTGTAGATGCATTGCGGTTTTGATGACATCAAAAACCCTTGTGAGTTATGTCGTGGCTCAAATTAAAGTTGTGTAAGGTCGGAGACACTTCAATCACAGACAATGCAACTTCTATTGTAGTTGCATTGCAGTTTCGATGAGACTTCAATCGCTGACAATGCGCGACTTCAATTGTAGTTGTGGAAATGTTGGGTCATACTGATTGACTATCAAAACTGAGATAACAAATGTATTTTTAATTGCACTTATATATTTTTGAAGTTGTTAAATCCAATAAATTTTAATGGTCAAATGAGTTTTACAAGTTCATACACATACAACCTATGATCGCTTACAGTCTGTGTTAGAGGCCTATATTATTGATTGCTCCACTCTTATTTTTGGATGGATTCAACTGTCCAACCTATCTACTGATGCTGTAATTTTAGACTTGGAATTTTGTTTGTAATATAAAAAAATTCAATGGTTCATACATTATTTTAAGATTTGAGTAGACCAATGCAGGAAGAATGTAAATTTGAAGAAAATGTTGCCAAATGTGATTTTGTTATTATCAATTTACCTTCAAATGTGATTTTATGTTTTGATTAAATTAGCACTGTGAGTTGTTTGGGATAGTTAAGAACAGGGGAGCTAGCAGTATCATTAAAAATCAGTAGTATGTGGTTGTGCACTGTGAGTAGCAGCAGGTTTATTGATGTAGTACATGCTTTTGAAGCCATCTGCCATGCATAAGATAGAGGTTACACAGATTTTTCCAAGTGTCACTAGATTTACTCATGTTGATTTGTAGTTTAATGAATGATGCACCCTTGTGAAACTCTGCATTTATATTTTTAATACTTTGAAAATATTCAGATTAGGAGCCTGATAACACAATATAGAAATCTGAAGACTTGTACAACTGGTTAACAATAAGAGTCTATGGATGTGGTTGTGAGTCAAGTTTTAGTGGACTAACTCCAAATGTTGGGATGAAGTCTTTGCCTTTTTCTCATAGCCGGTAACTGAACTTACTTAAATGTTATATATATTTTCTCTTGGTTTAAAATGAATGACATTTTAAGTTATAAAAATTGAAAAAGATCAATTTTGTTGAAACCAAAATTTTCTTATCTCTCATTTTGGATTGATTGTTATTGTTAAATTGGATTTTGCCATGTTTTGGTATGGGGACAGATTTGGAGTTAAAATTGGCATCACTTCAACAAATATCTTGTAGATTTTTGTAATAATAAACAAATTGGTATGGCTTTAGTTTTTTATGCAAAATTCTCATTGCAGTTTTTTAACACTAATATTCCTATTTATGTTACTACTCTTATGTAGAGGTGGATATGACACCCTGGAAGAACTATTGGAAGTGATCACTTGGGCTCAAATAGGAATCCATGATAAACCAGTAAGTATATAATAATAAAAGTGCAATTCAATTGGATTTGTAGATTAAAAAAGTATACTAAATCAACTTCTATAATGATAAAGAAAAGGCAAAATGAAGATCTTAATCAATAGTCATAAATGAATGATTCTTAATGGAAAAATGGATTGATTGAATTGCAGGTGGGTTTGTTGAACTTAGATGGTTACTATAACTCTTTGCTGTCATTCATGGACAATGCTATAGATGATGGTTTCATAACACCCGCTGCCCGTCATATTATTGTGTCTGCCCAACATGCACAAGACCTCATCTGCAAGCTTGAGGTACACATCATATAATACACCACAATTTCCATCTCATTTACTCTGGGTAAAAAGTTAATATTCATGTACACTAGCCATTAACCCATTTGTCTTCATAATTTATCTTGAAATTTTTGTTTCCTACAGTGAGTCCTTTGTTGTTCTTTGTAGTATGGTAAATTAAAAAATGTGGATGATGACCATTCTAAGCTATCTATGACCATTTAATAGTCCCAAGTTAAAACTGAATGCTGGTTCTGTTTTTCGTTCTTAGCTGCAAAAGACGACATAGTTCATATGGGTGGCTTCAATGCATTTTCATGCATGTTAATAGTTGTTGTAACGGTTCCATCGTGTGCAGGTAATTTTGGATGAAGGTTTATTGGTAGCCACATGATTACGTTGTTGTTATGTTGTGTGTTGAAGTTGTGAATTCGTGTTGGTTTGATATTTTGATTGATATTCTTTTGTGGCCTCTTTGCATTGAATGCAGCACTTGGAAACATGGGATATCACTTTCAACACTTTACAGGAGAAGCATGCTTTGGTTGGTACAATTTCATCACCCTTCAGCTCACATGATCTTATGTTGTTTATGATTTATCTATGCCTGTTCTGCATGTTGATAGTTACACGTGATTTTTTGCTATGTCCTACTTAAGTAGACAAATTGATAATCTCTTAGACTTAATTTGATTGATAAATTAACCTACACAATAGATTAGAGTTAGATTTTGTGTTTAGATAGAATGGAATCAGCTGCAGATACTGAATTTCGTGTAATAAGTCCACAACTTTGCATTAATATCCCTAGGGGCATTATGATTAAGTTAGGATATGGGTCTCAACTCAAGAAAGGAGGACACATACATGTGCACACTTTTAATAATCTCTATTTTTTTAATAAAATTATTGGCTGTCCTATTATTTTTCTCATCTTAGAAGGGTTATTGTTTTCTGTTAAGAGTTAATGTCCATTATTATTTTTATTATAAAAATTCAAGTTTCTTTCTAAGTGTTAATATTTTATGCATGTCGTCGACTTGTTCTATTTACCTTTTGATCACAACCATGGTATTTGTTGCTGAATAGGAATTTAAGTCTAATTCACAGGCATGCCTGTTTAGGCAAGTTCCAAGTTGCAACCAAGAAAATGGACTTAATGTATGACATAATGGGATTTTATTTCTTCTGGTTTTCATCCCCCTCGCTAAACTGCAATCCTTTTTCATGTGCAGAATGTTCATTGATACTTGCAGAAGGCTGAAAATCATGAAGGGTTCTGATGACATTGGCTTAGGTATGTATGCTCCATGATGTTTGTATATCTACTTTCAAGCAATAACTATTTCTGGGAGTTAGTGAGTAGTTGATTAAATTAAGCTGCAACACATATTTCTACGTGCTAGTGCATTTGTGAACAAGCCACCAAATTTTAACAAGCGCGTTTCTAAAGTTGAGATAACCATCTTAAGAACTAAAAACCCACGACAGATTATGATCTTGATATGTTAGAATGAAATCACTATATGTAGTGTGTATCCGGATAAACTTTACGCCCAAACAACTCTATTTTATGGTGTTCTTCGAACATTACTTAGCAAATTTTTATTTCTTTTTGCTAGGTTCGAAGAAATCTGGATGATCCAGAAAATGCAATTATTGGTGCTTTTGCAGGTAAGTAAATGACAGTATATCTATGTTTCAGCACTAGACATCATGAGCTTATGCTGTAACTGTGCTTCAAGCTGAAACACCTTATGAATTAAGATATATGAGTTGCTTCAAGATTACTTGTAAAGGAAGGTTCCTTGGAGATTACTCTTTCTGACAGTATTAATTTTTTTATCTTGCAGAAGTTACTATAGATGTACTCATATAAGAAAACTTGATTTCATTATTGTAGTTGCTGCACAGCAAATGCCTAGTTTTGTGCTTTTGCAGACACTAGGGACATCGACGAGGAAAGAAGAAAACAAGTTATATCTTTTTATCTCCTTGCAGCAATGTGTATCTTTGGTGCTTTCACTTATTAGCTACAGTCTTGATGCATTTCCAAATGAAATTGCTTAGATATATATATATATATATATATATATATATATATATATATATATATATATATATATATATATATATATATGAAATGAAAAGTAAAAATTTGCATAAATGTTTAATTTTAGTTATTTAGTTTTGTCATGGTTTAAAATGTATTGTAAAATATTTTTAATGAATAGTTTTATTTTAATAATAATAATAATATTAAAAACTAAATTTATAATTTTTTGTATTTTAAAAATAAAATTATATTTATATAAGTTATAGTGACACCTATAAAATCATAGGCATAATTTTTACTAATAGTTATAAGTGACATTCACTTTAACACCACACTACGTCTCCTTATAGTTGACGTCAAAGCGGGTGACGCCTTCTTATAATTGACGCCAAAGCGGGTGTCATTAAATGTTTTGAAGAGTTTTGTTTATAAATAAATATTCTCTTTTTAGATTCTGGTCTATATAATGGTTCCCTTATAGTTGACGTCAAAGCGGGTGACGCCTTCTTATAGTTGATGTCAAAGCAGGTGTCATTAAATGTTTTGAAGAGTTTTGTTTATAAATAAATATTCTCTTTTTAGATTCCGGTCTATATAATGGTCCGAAAGAGGACTATGAGTGAGTTAGTAATTGAAATAATTTTTTTTGTTGATGAAAATTTTACTGATAATAGATTTTTACTTTTGTAATTAAAATCTTCGGATATTCTTAACTTAAGGATGATAGTATGATTTTTTTTATTGTTTATGATTTTAATAGAAAAATTTTAAAATAAAATTTCAATAAAATCATATTTTTAATGATCCGAACTATATGGTTAATAAATTATTTCATTTAGTACGTTTATGGAAAAATATTTAAAATTTATAACATATTAAAAACATATAAAATCAACAAAATATTTAACACCTAATTGAGATTATTCAACTATATTTATAAAGAGTATAAAATAAATAATCTAATGCATTGCAATTGGTAAAAAAACTCATTAATTTTTTTTTTCAAATGACCTTAACAATATAGAATTTTGTAGAGATAACTAAAACAAATATGTAATCATGATTATTATTTTTGTATGGGCAAGAGTCCCCACTCCCTTTTAAAAATAATTTATATTTTAGGAATGTCTTGTTGACTAACTCTGTTAGAGGATATTTTAGTATTTTATTATACTTTAATATTATATATAAATAGTCTAGTAATAAGTAGGTCAATGTATTGATTACTCCTTATTTTGTAGCCGTCATTTAATGTATTTCTTTTATCTTTCATCTCTCATTTGTGTACCAACAATTGATATCTAGAGCTCCTGTTCGAAATCTATGGGAAAACACGAGTGAACAGTGAGGTGTTGTGTGATTGAGAATCACATTTTTTTCCTGATTCTGTGGGATTTGAGAAATACTGTGTGTTAGTGGATTTTTGAGTGAACTGCACAAGATTGAAGATGAACGGAAACGCCAGTATCAATTCCAAGCATCCAGTGTTTGATAGCAAAAACTGGAATCGTTGGAAGATCCAGATGTATGTGTTGTTTGTTTCTCAAGATGTGCTAGATCTTGTCACCGATGGCTATGCTTCATTAGCAACAGACGCGACAGAGGCACAAAAGACAATGCAGAAGGCGATAAGGAAGAAATATCAGAAAGTATTATTCTACATCCATCAGTGTATGGATGCGAATGTGTTTGAGAAAATTGTTGATTCGACGAAGGTGAAGGCTGCGTGGGACACACTGAGTAGGTGTTACGGTGGTGACGCATCATTGAAGAAGGTGGAGCTTTAGTCTCTCAGAAAACAGTATGAGAATCTCAATATGAAGAATAATGAGAAGGTTTCTAAGAACATCTTTAGAGTGATTCTGATCACTAATGAGATGAAGGCTTATGGAGAAACCCTTTCTGAACAAGTAATCATTGAGAAGATATTGAGGTCTCTTACTCTTCAATTTGATTACATTGTTGTAGCAATTGAATATTCTAAAGGCCTGGATACCATGAGAATAGAAGAGTTGCAAAGTAGTCTAAAGGTGCAAGAGTTGCGTCTGACTGAAAGAACTTTTAAGAGAAATGTCGAGCAGGCTCTGAAAGCTTTTTTGTCAAGAAAAACCAAAAATAGAGAAAATATGGTAGTTACCAGAAGTCAGAAGTTTTCTATTCTAATGAGAAGAAACATCAAAAGAGAAAGGAGAAGTATGACAAAATAATAGTTCAATGTTACTGTTGTAATATGTTTGGCCACTTTGCTAAAGATTGTTGGTCAAGCAAAGAAGAAGTAAAAATAGCTAGAGGAGATTCTGATGATAAACCTGTGCTATTGATGACTTATAAATCTGATGAGGAACCTATGAGATTTTCATTTTCTGATTCTAAAGGGGAAGAAGATGACTCTGAATATTCTGACTCTGAAGGAGTGTTTGAATATGAGTCAGAATCAGAAGATGACGCTGAAGATTATGAAGATGAGTAAGAATCTGAGGTTTCCAAAGATGACTCAGAGTTAGAAGATGACATTGAAGCTGAAGACAAGTCAGAATTCGAAGGTGATTCTGAGTGTGAAGAAGAATCAGAAGATGAGTCAGAATCTGAAGAAGATTTTGCTTTTGAAGATGAGTTACAACTTGAACGTTCTAAAAAAGAGATAGAGTCAGAAGATAAAGAATCTTCTGGAGACTTTAAAGACGAGTCAGATGGTGAATCTGATTCTAATCCAGATTTTGAATCTGGTGGTGGTCATGCTTCTAGAAGAGAAAACTCTGAAGACGTAGGTTCTGGAGGACAAGCTTCTGAAGATGATCATGTTTATGGTGGAAATCGTGTCTCTGAAGGAGGACCTTCTGAAGGAGGAGCTTTTAAAGGTAATCCAGCATTTGACGGTGATCATGATTCTGAAAGTGGAACTTCTGAAGGCATAGCTTCTGAAGGTGATCCAACTTTTGAAGATGGTATTTCTGAAGGTAGTGGTTCTGAATGAGGTTCAGAAGCTAACAAAGGTGGAGCTTCGGGTGGTAGTCAAACTTCTGAAGAAAGTCTAAAAGGAGATATTGTTCCAGAATCAAAAGGAGATTCTGAACAAGTTCAGAGGCAACAACGAGTCAGAAATATAACAAAGAGATTTGCAGAGTTTGACAAGCTCCAAGATAGTGAAGGGACTCTGAGGTATGAAGTGTTATTCTGTTCTAGTGTTAGATCAGATGCATAGCTGATATGCTATTCAGACTCTGATTTGTATGAAGACGGAGTTTATAGAAGAAATACTTCTGGATATTTTTGTTTATATCTGGAAAGTCCTATTTCTTAGTGCTCCAAGAAGCAACCGATGGTTGCTTTATCAACCTGTGAAGCTCTCAAGAAGAAAGTGTGGCTGAAGGCCATGAAAGAAGAGCTTGATGCTATTGAAAGAAACAAAACTTGAGAGTTAACTAAGTTTTCGAAGGAGAAGAAAAA